GCTCTGCTCAGACTCACCCACCCTAACTCCCTCCCTCTCCCTCTATCACATTTTAAAATATATATATATATAATTAAAGTTGAAAGTAAAGAAACTCTGGCGATCGGTGCTTGGTTAGAAACGTCGCGCCAAGCTTTCCCTTGAGTTTGTCTTGATCTTGTCTTTGGGCCTTGGACATTGCGTGCGATTGCATTACGAGTGAAATTTTCTGCCTTTTCTCGCTTGGCGATCTTGAGGCATCGATAACCTTTTTGCTTAGGTTTTTTTTTTTCATTTTTTTTTTCTTTGACCATCTAAAACTGACATCATCAGAGCGCAAGCAGTTCGCAATTTAATGCCGTGCCATGAAGTATCTTTTGAATACCCTGGCAACCAAAGGAAAATGGGTATTGGGGGTATGATCGATTTGGTTCAAGGGTATGTATTAGGCAGATGGAGGTTGGGAGCATTTTATAAAGTAGATTCTGAAGTGGAAAAACCACTGAGTGGAGATAGTCCTGTCTCTCTGTCCTTACTTATGTGTGCCTAGCTTCAAGAATCTGTTATAGACTTGGCTCTTTGGCAATCCCTCTACGCCAAAGATCAAGTTTGATCTTCACATAATTAATTACCTTTTAATATACTCGAAAATCAATTAGAATCGAAAGAATACGATCTTCAACTTGAGTTACCCAATGTCCAAAAAATACTAAAAACACCGTTAAGCTCTATACAAATATACTTCACTACAATCCCCAACCATCTCTTCAATTTAGCAATACAAATATTGGAAATATCTAATTGCCAATATACTTAGTACAAAGCACTTAGATATGTATGTTCTAGTCGAATACTCCCGATTACAGTCGTGCACACTCGTGCTTGATTTTCCTTTAGCTTCGGCTTCTGATTACATAAATTTGGCGCCTGACCGCGAATCAAAGAACAGAGGGGATCGGCCTGAGAGGGGGGCGCAGCGAGAGCTCCACATTTGCATCTGCGAAGCGCCGTCGAATGTGTGTCAGGCATTGGGGCGCGGCATATGTAATTACAATAACTGCAACTTGCAACTTGCCAACTTGCAACTTGCATCAATGCAAATAACGCAGAATGTGTGTGTTTCATGCAGCCGAGCGGGAAGCGGGGGCTGAAGAGCGACGAGATCGAGAAGGAGAGAAACCTGTCGCTTTTAATTAAAGGCCGCCCGACTCTAAGTAACTTTTCATGTATCAACTTATGCGCACAATTTTAAGCGACAGCAGCAACAGCAACAACAACAAAAACAACAACAATCAGAAATAACTTTTGCATTTAGTCATAACTGCATTTAAAATATTTTCGATTGTTGACTGGCCCCGCGCACAACAAAACTCGTATTTTGATTTTATTTGGATTGTTCGTAACTCCCCCATATGCAAAAAAAAAAAAAAAAAAAACAACAACAAAAAAAAATCAAAATAAATAAAGAGAAATATATATATAAATGGGATAGACGCTGAATGCAATTGTATCCCAGCCCAGGTACGACCCACTTCTGTCATGTTGCACGATAAATACTTGGAGATTTATTGTTCGCCACGGTGGCAGGCATAATTACAATTTATGCCCCATTCGGGGGCAGCACAAACAGCCAACAAACAACCAACAACCAGCAACCAGCTAACAACAACTTGTGCAATCTACGAGCCAAGTTCAAAGCGTGTTTTGAGGAAGCTGTCGCCAAAGACAAAGACCGTACAAATTGCAAAAGGAAGCTGTCCATCGTCTTTTGTCTCTCAGTCAGAGTTTGTCTACCTGCCACACAATTGCCATTATTCTTGCGACCATTGAAAGTGAATATTTATAAATAACGGCAACGGGGAGAATGAAACGTATGTCGAAATATAAATACTCTAGCATTCCATGGTACATAGAGCTGATTTCTGAATAGTTAAGATGCTGCTTGATTGAAGAAAAAATAAAACTATTCAGCAGCTTTTCGTGTATGCTTTATGGAACCTTGAGAGCTTTATACATTCTGCAATATCAATGAGCATCTTAGCTCTTGCAGCATAGCCTGCGGGTCTGATAAGCAGGAGCGTAAATAGAATTTAGAATTAAATTAATATGATTTTTAGATCTTAAAGAAACATATTTTCTAAGCTTCTACTCACATAATTAGAAAAATAAATTGTTTCATATTTGATACAAAAAATACTTATACTACACTAAAACTAGAAATTACATACATAAGAGGTTCAAATATATTAGGGATCTTTCCAGAGCATGATTGCATGAGCTTTTACTAACACCAAAGCTTTTGAACAATGCCTACTTCAGACTTTGCGATATTGGAGGTTATATAGAATCTGATGAGACATAAAAAATCTTTCTAATATACACTTACTTTCAACTTCTTTATCAAATAGCCCTATTTTTCCATTACTGGAACTTCTCAAAGTCTCTCTAGCAACCCTACACAGTCAGCTGAATGTCCCTTCGGTTAGGGTACAATTCACTTTCGCATACCTATTTCAGGGGGGGCCATTACATCATGTGAAGTTGAAGCACTTGGCTGCTATTGTTGAGCACATAATTAAGCGCCGCTTAGCTTATGTAATTAATGTCAGGTAAATAAGAGAGACAAGAGCGACAAGCGGGAGACCCCGAATAAGACAAAGTCTAATGAATCGTTGACCAGCTGCGTGCGCTGATTTATATGCGAGTTTTTCAAGAGTTTTGTTGCTGTTGTTGTTGTTGTTGTTGTCGTTGCTGCTGTGTGAATTGTGTTTTGTCACCGCGTGCACAAGTCCACAATTCGATCTCGCGCACTTAAGAGCCTCGTTTACGCAGACTCTCCACTGGAGCACTCATATTCGCCAGCCAGTCAAAGTCAGTCAGCGCTCAAATCGAACTCCAAGTTGAAGTCGCAGCAGCAGCCGCAGCTGAAGCTAGAGCCAGAGCCAGAGCGGAACATGTGACATAAGTCGCCGGGTGTATGGCAATGATATATGAATATGACAAAGCGACATGGACAACTTTATTGGCTCATGAAAAGCGCTGTCACTGCCGCTGACTGACATAAATCACGAGCAAAAATAACAAACAAAAACAAAGCGCAAACCATTCGACGAACCCAACGAGCTGAAAACGCAGCCAACTTCAATCCAGCGATCGCAGCTAAAGATCTCAGCTCAGAGTAAAAACCAAACCAAAAGCAAGCAACTTAAAAATAAATCAAAAATCAATTTTCGCAAAAGACAAAAAGAACAACGAGACGCGACGCGACGTCACAATCTTAACGTTCAGCCAGCGTGAAGATCGCGATCTTAGTTCGAGTGTATCTGCATCTGTGTGTGGGTTTATCTAGCTTCACTAACTAACAATGGGTAAAACAATATTTTTTTTTAAATACCAATATATCTGTTTAAATCGAGGACAAGTTCTAGCATTTCAAATTATATAAATGATATTTAT